GCTGCTGAAAAAGGCCCAGCAGAGATTGAACTTCCTTAGGGTGCTCAGGAGACACAGCATCACCCAGAGACTGCTGGTGTCATTCTACAGGTGCTCCATAGAGAGCATACTATCGTATTGCATATGTGTGTGGTACACCAGCTGCACGGTGGCTCAGAGGAAAGCGCTCCAGAGGGTCATCAGCACGGCCCAGAAGATCGTTGACTGCCCTCTCCTCACTCTGGAAGAACTGCACAGTCACTGCTGTCTCAAAAAAGCCCAGAACATTATGAAGGACACCTCACACCCTGGTTACTACCTGTTTGCCATCTGGCAGAAGGTACAGATCGCTCAGAACAAGGACAAGTAGATTCAGAAACAGCTTCTACCCCACAGCAATAACCACAACCAATAAATTTAAAACGTAATACATGCTGCTAAGTGCATTAAGGGATCATGTAATTAAGAGATGGATGTATGAGTGTGTGTTTGCATGTTTGTATTTACAATTTATTTAGATATATATATATATTTTTTTAAATTACTCTTTTACAGTTTTTATAGTCTGTTTTGTTTTTTTCATTTTTTTGACATGAATGTTGCACTGTTGGTTTGGCACTTTTTAATTTTGTTGTATACAATGTATCACACATGTATTACAATGACAGTAAAGATTCTATTCTATTCAAACCCTTCTGGGAGAGCAGAACAACATTCACCGAGCAGCGTTAACAATCTCATTAACAGTAAGTCACATTTGTGTAGTAATCTGATCCAACTAGAGATTTGCAACATTTGCAGTATACAATAAAACGGAGGTGGATGGGAGTCACAATACTGAAAAGTAGTTTACGCTTTATCGTCTCTGAGACATTTCCTAAAGCTCACTGATTCAAGTTTAGACCTCTTTGAAACCTCTGTGAATGTTTATGAGTTTGGCCCCAGGACAGGAAACTGTGATGTGTTTGTTTAGCGATCCAAAGCTCCTTCCATCAGATAGATTATATTTAGGATGGCAACTAAAACAAACATAGTTCATAGCTTACATTAACAAAGAGGCTCTCTTCAGGCCTCTTATAACGCGTATGCAGTACATCAGCAGCATCTTCTGGCTGTGAGAGACGCTGACTCACTGCAGGTGGCTTAATGTGATCTGCTGGACTAGTCTACAGTTGAGCCTGAAATTTTATTCAGTAGATGTACAGTAGACAGATACGACACAGGCACAAAGTTACACACATTCTGAAAAGATCATGTCCTAACATACCTGCAGAAGCCATGCTTTGGGCATGCTTGAGGTTTTCTTCCAAAATCTTCATATATCCTTTTTTCATGATTCCTTCAACCTTGGCAACATTCCCTGATGCACTGAAGCATCCCCACAGCATAACACTGCCACCACCGTGTTTAACCGTGGGGACGGTGTTCTTTGGGCTATGCGCGTCTCCCTTCTTTCTCCAAACATAAGAAACATCTCTGTGGCCAAAGAGCTCTAATTTGGTCTCATCTGAGCAAAGGACATGCTTCCAGTATTCATAATCTTTCTCCAGGTTCTCCTTGGCATACTTCAGTCTGGTTTGAAGGTGTCTCTTCTGTAGAAGTGGAGTTTTTCTTGACCTGCATCCTCGCAGTCCATTTCTGTGCAGGGCTCTAGTGACAGTCTACTTTGACACTACAATTCCTGACTTGGCTAAGTCATTAATTAGTGTATTGGTGATTGTTCTAGCATCTTTAGACACATCTCTCACAAGTTTTCTTTCCAGAGTCTTTGAAATCTTCGCTTCCTACCTCTGCCAGACTTGTTTTGTACTGTGTGGCTCTCTTTGAATTTCTTGGTGAGACTTCTGACTCCACTTCTTCACACGTGGAAATGCTGTGATAACTTTGTAGACCCTTCTCCTGCTTTGTAAGCATCAACAATTCTTTTTCTCAAACTGATCTCTTTTGTTTTTGGCATGATGGTCTCTCAAGTGACAGCTCAAATCCTTAATGAAGTTTTTATACTGGGTGTCAAGTGTAGGACAACCCCTACTTTTAACTTGATCGACTGACTGATGGATTTCAAGCTGTGAGCATTACAAATTAAAAGTACATGATTGCCCAACGGTGGTTTGTGCTTTGGCTCAATTAAAAGGTCAGTTCTTAAGGGGGGTAATAATTTTGACCCTAGTAGTTTTTGGTTTTTGTTAAATAATTTTGTTTCTGTGTGCAAAGTAAAAAATAATGTAAGCATCCAAAATAAAACTAGGATTTTTGGAAAAGCAGCATTTGGTAATTTTTTTGGGGAAAAAAAACAAACTAAAATTTCATAGGTGGCTAATAATTTTGTCTTCAACTGTACAACAACCATTTCTTACCAAGCAGAGCATGTTTTCCCTGACTTTGCCGCAGATTGAAAGATTTTGTATTATTGTCACTGAAAAGCTTATTAACAGATAAACAATTATAGGTAAATAAAGACTGTGTTTGTATGATTTTTTTTTCTTAGTTAAACTCTATGTGATCTTTTTTTGGCAGTGGATTTAGTTGCAGCTCAACTCTTGCACAGACTACTTAGAAGATTCTGGAAACAAGTGGTACAGACTGCTGGACAGTGAAGACTGATCCAGAGCCTGCAGCCTGGAGACTCAAGCTGAAGGCTGGATGGACACAGTGAGGCCTTGACCAGGAGGACCACACTCTGTAGACAGAAGAGTCTTCACTCACAGTCATCCTCAGATGTATTCATACCCTCTCATTAAAGAAGGAAAGAAACAGGTGTCACTGACATAAGTTGAAACTGACAATAGTAATAATGAACACAAATTTAATGAAAGTCATGACATTGCTTTTGATTTATGGTTCAACACAAATACAAAAAACAAAGACAACAACAAAAACAAGCAAACAAGCATGATGGGACCCATAAACTAACATTTTGTTGAACAACCCTTTGAGCCAATCACTGCAATCAGGTGTTTTCTGTAACTCTCAATCAGACTTCTGCACCTTTTGACAGGTATTTTGATGTTGGCCCACTGCTCATCAGCAACTGCTCTAATTAGTCCGGGACAGTTTTTTATTTTATTTTTTTTTTTAATTATTCTTTTCAACCACAATGCAAAAGCATTGTTAAATCACTAAATTATAATTTAGCAAATTTTTATTTATTATTACTTTTTTCAGTTTATAGTTATTTGAGTGATTATTGTGAATTTTGCCTTTTCTTTAATGGAAGGAGATGAATACATTTGAGGACGACTGTATCTGTGTACTCATGTAATAATGTGATTATGAGCTTTTTACACAACATAAAAAGCAGTACTTTAGCAGTCGTTTACGGGCTTTAATTAATTGAGGGATACATAAAACTACTTATTATACGGAATATGAGCTGTTCTGATGACAAGTAAGAGATTAACTCTTGAGCCAACATGTACGACTAACTGCTCCACCTAAACGTGAGTAACGTTCTCCTCCCAAATCCTCTGCTCCGGCTCTGGTTATCAGCGTTTCGCAAAAATATAAGAGCAATCATCCAAATACAGAGCGGTGTGTGGGCAGCCAGCCGGTGTCGTGTTCCCTGGCTGTCGGAGGGTGAGGGTGTGAGGTGGGGGTGAGCTGCGGCTCCTCCAGTTACTTCTCCGATCACTCGCCCAGTTTCCCTTCGACAGCCCCATTAATGGCACTCTCCTCAGACCGCTAGCTGGAAGCCCACTATGCAGACATACACCGAACAACTCGTGTTTTGGATTGGTTTTAGCAATTTCGTAAAGATGCGTGTTCCTCCTGTGTTGTGAAACGGCGTGAAAAAGCAGAACGCAGAAGAAAACAACCAGAGACGGGTCTGATCCAACTGTTAGCCTTGTCGGGTAAGTAGACAATCCAGATTGTTAGCTAACATTAGCATCTGCTGCAGAGTCGGTGTCTTCAAGAGGTTGTGGTCAGAAATAAAACTGCTTTAGTCTTTCAGCGTGGGATACCACAGTGGCTGAGACGGAGATGTTTGGGTCGGGCTTAAATGGCCTGTGGTTCGTGTTTGCACACCAGGAACACCCGAGCCAACGTTAGCGGCTGTCAGCCTTACCCGTTGGTCGCAGCTGGTGTTTGGCTATCACTAGCTAGCGTGCTAGCTATCTCTCACAGCTAAGCTAATGCTCTGCGGTTCATAAACCAAAGTTGATATCAAGTAAACATGAGTGAAAGAGTCTTATCGTCAAATAACACATTACTCAATCGTAGACAAAGCTACGTTGTTGGGTTAGTTAATAACGCTGTTAGCTCCTCGTGTTACTCTGAGGAAGACCTGACAAATTCAGTTGGTTCAGTCGCAGCTAATGATGCTTAGTTGCTACAAAATGATGTGACATTTATTCTGACTTATGTGCTCAACATGTTTTGAATTCTGTATATAACTAAGTACAGTTTATCATATACAATTTGGGGTTAAACTGGAATTCGAAAGGAGGGACCCTTGTCCAGTGAGGTCGGGCTGCAGACTGCAAATAGGGACTATTTCTTTCGTAGAAAGTAGTTCCAGTGTAATGTGTACGGATGGTGGTGTGCTGATGCGGAGGGTCCACAGTACCAGCGGCTGAACACATCGCAGCAGAGTGTGTCCATGGTTCTTGTTATTGTTGTACAACAAACCAAGTTCGGTGACAGAGTCAGGTGTCTTAAGTTAAATTTAGTCAAAATAGTCAGATTCCACTCAATAAAAGCCACAGCATTTTCATTTTTTATTTACTTTTGTCATTGGTTTAGTTAGGTGTTCTTTATCCCATTTCTAGGACTTGTTTGAAAATCAGATGATGTTGTGGGTCATATTTATGTAGAAATACAGAATATTGGAAAGGGTTCTAAATAGAGTTAAGGTTAAGGTTAGGGTCAGGGTCAGGGTTAGGATGCCCGGGATCTTTCTGTGTGGAGTTTGCATGTTCTCCCTGTGCAGTGTGGGTCCCCTTCGGGTTCTCCAGCTTCCTCCCACAGTCCTAAATCATGCTGAGGTTAATTGGTGATTAAAATTGTCTTGATCTAAATTGTCCGTAGGTGTGAATGTGAGTGTGCTTGTCTGTCTCTCTGTGATAGACTGGTTACCTGTCCAGGTGAACCTGCTTTCACTCTGAGTCAGCTGGGATAGACTCCAGCCCTCTGCAACTCTAATGAGGATTAAGCGGTGTATAGATGATGGATGGTTCACAAACTCAAACGCCACTATACATGAATTTGTATGTGTCTGTAAAATAAATCTAGGAAAAGTTACTAATTGCCAAGATGTGTTTCCCAATTTAATTACATTATTGCCCTTCCAACTTAAGTGATGTGTGTGAAGCAGCTTGTTATTATTGTACCTGGTTACAACGCTGACAGAATAGTTGATTGTGTACATGTCCTCTGGACTACATCTAACCTCTCGCAGACTTTATACATTGAAATTTGAGACACTTTTAGAATAAAAACTTGCAAGTACTAAATTTAGGAGTGACACACCCTTTATTTCAGGGATTTCATCTCATTCAGCCAGTCTGGAGCTACTTTAAGCGTTAAGATGCTATGTGAATCTGGATGCAGGAGTTTAAAGTGTCAGCTCATTGGTCTGTAAGCTCCACGGGTCACAATCCCTGTTTTGTGTTTCAAATCAAGAGACATAATATTGAGTCAGTGAGCTGTTTCTACAGTTTTTTTTTTCTCTCTGGAGAGAACTATGGTAGTCAAGGGGATGCTATGCAGGAGGCCTCGGTTGTCCAGGCAGCTTCAAGAGGGTTTTCTTCTCTGTAAATCTGCTACTGTGTTGCCGTATACCACAAGGCCAGATAGTTGGACATTCAGTCAACACTGTAAGAATCCTCTGCACCAGACAGTTGAGATTCAGCGTAGTCACATTCACAAGGTATTCCCTTACTCAAAAAAAAAGACTGAAGTGCTGATTTTGTGACCTGTGTGGCTTTATAATTTGACAGGCCCTTTCGTGTGTGTCTTTACGTATGTTGTTTGGGCAGCTGTATGTCAGGTGGTAGAGCGGTTGTCCTCTGATCGCAAGGTTGGTGGTTCGATCCCCTGCCCCTCCACAGTTGAAGTGTCCGTGGGCAAGACACTGAACCTGAAGTTGCTCCCAATGGCAGGCAGCACCTTGCATGGCAGCTCTGTCACTTCTTCTTCTGAGATGACAGCCATGCAGACCAATTTGATGCATTGTGATGCGGTGTATGTTCTGAGCACTGACAGGCTGACCCCCCACCCCTTCAACCTCTGCAGCAATGCTGGCATCACTCATACAACGATTTTCCAAAGCTATCTTGTGGATGTGATTCTTTGGTTGACCATGGCGAGGCCTGTTCTGAGTGGAACCTGTCCTGTTAAACCGCTGTATGGTCTTGGCCACCGTGCTGCTGCTCAGTTTCAGGATGTTGGCAATCTTCTTATAGCCTAGGCCATCTTTATGTAGAGCAACAATTCTGTTTTTCACATCCTCAGAGAGTTCTTTGCCATGAGGTGCCATGTTAAACTTCCAGTGAGCAGGATGAGAGAGTGTGAGAGAGCGATAACACCTAATTTAATACACCTGCTCCCCATTCACACCTGAGACCTTGTAACACTAACGAGTCACATGACACCAGGGAGAGAGAATGGCTAATTGGGCCCAATTGGGACATTTTCACTTAGGGGTGTATTCACTTTTGTTGCCATCGGTTTAGACGTTAGTGGCTGTGTATTGAGTTATGTTGAGGGGACAGTCAATTTACACTGTTATACAAGCTGTACACTGACTACTTTACATTGTAGCAAAGTGTCATTTCTTCAGTATTGTCCAATGAAAAGATAGAATAAAATATTTGCAGATATTGTGACAAACTGTATATCTGCGGTGTTTCTATGAACCACGTGTTATCAACACACCACAGAAGTTCAGGAATAGAGAAATTTTAAAGGAACATGTAGCAAGCACAACCATTACTGTATATCATCAGCACTGCATATCATCAGTTTAACACCTATTTAAAGTGAATGTGTCACAGCCAGAATCCAAACAACCAAAACACAGCCATAACTTCAGTCGCAGTTACAGTGACAGTACCAGCGATGTCATCCCAAAGCGGCAGTAATAATCACAGCTACCGTCTGTCTGAGCAGCAGTCAGTGAGAGAGTAGGTAAACAAGCCCCTCTGGTTGCCTTTCTAAGTGCAATAGTGCAGACTTGTGGCTGAGTAGCACTGACCTGCTGTAGCCACAGCCAGCTGCACTACCGTAATACATACACTGTTTCGGATGCTCAGCCTTTTTCTGCGTGTCAGGGAAGAGGCAAACTTTATTGTGAGGGAACACAGAAGGTAGTTCTCCAAAACAAAATCTGGGGCTCCCTAAATTCATGCTATGTATGAATAAACAAGTCACTATTTAACAAAACTGTTTGCATACAGCATGTGAGCAAAGAGGAACTAAACAGAAGTCCTAAAGATTTTATCATTCAATGCATTTACATCGTGATCTATTATAAAGCAATTGGACAATATCTTAACGTTGCTTCTTGTCCAAAGCCACTCTCTTTCATGGAGCACTTCCTGGTGTAGCAGTTGTTTTTGTTGTTTTTTCCTTACTGCATGTGTTTCCTTCTTCGATATGTGTTTTGGTGTTTCTTGCCTTTCTAAGCTGTTACTTTGTTACTGAAGTGTTACTGAACATGTTTTCAAAAATGTATCGTACCCTCCGCAAATCCACAAGGTGAGCTCAGTAGCTAAGTCTGTAGACTAAAGGAAGTGGCTCAAAGGGTTGGGCAGAGGGAAATGCAGGTTTTAGCTCACCTTTAGATCAGTTAAATTGACTTGAATGCATGTAATTGAGCATATTCCTCTATTTTCCTACTTTCTGGGACACATTTTACAAAGGCAGTTTGTCATGGTGATTTTTGTTGCAGAAGTCTACGAAAATGCCGGAGGTTCGGGACCTTTCTGAAGCTTTGCCAGAGATGTCTATGGACCCAATCACTGGAGTCGGAGTAGTCGCCTCCAGGAACAGGGCACCCACTGGATATGATGTGGTAAAGCACAGGACACAACTCAGGACAGATGGACATTTAATTTACAAAACTGCCATGCAAAGCAGTCTCATTTTGTAATTCATAATAAGTCTTGAAGCTATAATCATACCCACCACAGTGACTAAAAATGCACATTTATGTACTTCAGGATTCCAAATTATCAGGTCAAATGTCAGAGCAGGTGCTGAATTAAAACCATCTCATTATAACCCCCTAAATGTTGACCCATGGTCAGATTAAGGCACTAAATGTTTTATAAATATACCCAAAAATGGTTGTCTTTTTGCTCTGTACAAAAATGGTTAAACAAAAACCCAAAGGGGCATTAACATGTAAATGTGTAGGTAAGTTGTGCTGAATAAGTAAGTTTGGTTTGTAGGTGGCACTAGCAATCCCATTTTAGGAAGCAGTTCATAAATTAGTGACACTGTCAAGATTCTGTTCTAGGCTTTCTTTGGTCGTTATAGTTCTAAATTGCCAGTTGGGTTAGGGCCATCGTTTTGTATTAGCAGTCAAAACTTTTACCAAATTTCCTTTACAGTTAGGGGCAACTAAAATCACACATAATGTAGGTAGATATGTGTCTAGTCTGTATTTAGCTTGCTAACGTTAAGAGCAAAAGACCCTGCTTTCAGAATCTAGGCTTTTTTGTTTATTTGTTCCCCAACCATCTGTTATGGAGTAGCAGACTACAGCTGCTAGACAGCGCTGCCAGAAATCACGTGACTTGCAAGCTCACAACTGTGTGAGCAGACCTCTCAAAAGTGGCTCTAACTCAGCTCTGAAAGAACATTGTGGAAACTACGGGAAAATGTACATTTGCAAAAATTTTAAAAAAGATTTGCTCTTTTGAAACTCAAATTTAAATGTTTCAAAGCTTTTTCAGTTTCAAACCTGGAAAACAAACTAATACACAAGGGAGTGACAAATGTGAAACTCTGACAATAGGTCGAAGAAATGCTGTAAAAACTAGAAAATAAAAACGTGCTGCAGTTGTGAAGAAGGAAAACTGAAACACATCTCTTTGCAGACATATGAAAAACAAATTTCAATCTATGAAAACAGTATGCAAGCCTTTCAAACTCTAATCTTTGCAAAACCTGTTTAATTAGATTTTAAAATTCCAAACAGAAAGTTTCAGTCTTACTATTTTTACTTTTTTATTCAGTTTGGAAACATGACATGATATTAATCCCTTAAAAAATGAAGAAATCAGAATTCTGATGTTGATAACATGTGGCCAAAACTAAGAGGGAGTTGCTCTGGGTACGTAAAGATAAACTCAGCAGAAGTGTGTTTTCTCTCACCTGGTGATTTGACAGCACCCGAAAGCAGCAGCTGTTGTAGCACCAAATTATAGACATTTGGTGGTTTTCCACTAACGGGAAACTGCTGTTTTTACACATAACAATCACTTTCTCTGCTTTATGAATTATTACCTTTACAGTTGCAGTGGATGTATTTAGATTCTTATCAGTTTTATAACCTTATTAATTCACTGATTGTACTGTACACAACGTTTATTTAAAAACAAACTGCTGTAAGGTAGCAGTATTGTTTATGTAGTCTAAAATAAAATGTTGTTTTGGACGTTTGAAAAAAGAAAAATAGAGGCCTGAGACAGGTTAGAAGAATCCTGTGACACACAGCATGGCTCTGGACTGCGACCAAAATCTAGTCATTTGAAGCCTTAAGATTTCAAGTGGTTGCTCTCGTGATGATCAACGCAGGTAGCTACTGGGTTAGCCACAGTGGTAAAAAGTACTAATTTTCTTTGTCTTTTGGCCTTTTCGTTTTTTCCTTCCTTTTTGCTTAAATTGGGTTTTTTAGTTTTTTTGGTTTCAAAGGTTGAACCATTTTTTGGTTGTTCTTTTTAAAACCAAATTGGGGAAGGGGGGGGGGGTTGTGGGGGAGGCCCGGTTTTCGCTTCGGCCCCCCTTGTTATTCGCGTTGCGGTTGCGGCTTGACCCGTTGAGGAAAAAATTAATATTTCTTTGATTATGGTTGCTGCTGCAGTAGTAGTGCTGCAGAATTCTATGAATATTATTCACATTTGCACCAATGTGACCAGTGAAAAAATTAGCCTTGAGCCCTGCACAGATTTTGTCATTGTTGTCCTGATGACCCGTTCATACTCGACGTGTCTGCTTCCAGGTCTCTACAACAACAGATGGTCTGGATGCTGACCTGTGGAAAGATGGCCTTTTTAAATCCAAGGTGACACGCTACCTCTGCTTCACCAGAGTGTTCTCGAAAGAAAATGTAAGTTACCTCACTTCACTAACCTACTGTGCTCACAACAATATTGGTACAAGCATATCACGTTTTGAGCTGGTTAGGTTCACTCCTAACTTTATTCCCATCTCTTAATTGTCATTTGACTTATGTTTCCCCATAATCTCATCATTTGTCCCTCTCTCTTCCTCTCCTCTATTGCTTTCTCTCCAGAGCCATTTAGGCAATGTTCTAGTGGACATGAAGCTGATTGATATAAAGGACACTTTGCCTGTGGGTTTCATCCCGATCCAGGAGACTGTTGACACTCGTAAGTTACCCCAACTCAAGTAGAAAGACACTGACAGTATCACTGTGTCGCAAAGATGTCTGAAGCCGATTAGAAGATATTGAAGAAGATATTTGGCCCTAGTAATAAGAACTACCATGTTGATCACATACCTTTTTGGCAATGTACAGTGCTTATGGAATTTAAGACACCTCCACCCAATGTAATGTTTATGCCACAGCTGCTCTAAATTCACAACATTGGTAATGACCAGCATCATCTCTTATGTGTCTGTAATGTTTATTACAACAGTATGTAGAAGCTCTTTAACCCAAATTATGTTTTCAATGATAAAATATAATTATTGTTGTTATCCATGGATTTTCAAATTACTGTTTTACAAATAAACAGGAGAAATAGTAAAGCACATTATTATTTCTTGATTAAAATGTCAAATTATAGTTATTTACTTGCATTGCAGAGTTTTAGTGGTTGAATGTTATGCTTGACTCATTTCTGACTTCTCAGAGAGGCCCAGTGAGCTCAAATTTAGGTATAAAAAGGTGAATTCAGTTTGAAATTCCTCATTCCTGTTCAAAATGGTAGCACTTCATGATGCTGGATGGTCTCTGAGACAAATAGGGAAAGACATAAAATGGAAACGGAAGGAAGACCAATGCTGATCTTCAGGCAGAGATGAATGTTTCTAGATCAGTGTCTGAGAAAGTCTACAGAATGACCAAAAGACACAACTGATGGAACAAGGCTCAAAGGGAAGAAGAGCTGCTGAGAAGCCATTATTGAGCCCTGCAAACATCCAGAAACGCCTCAGGTTTGCCAGTGAACACAAACACACGACTGTTGGTGACTGGAAGAAGGTACTCTGGATGGACGAGTCCAAGTTTGAGCTCTTCAGTCAGCATCGTCGTGTTTGTGTCCACAGAAAAACTGGAGAATGTTTTGATGCCAGATGCATTGCACCCACAGTGGAACACAGTGGAGATTCCATTATAGTATGGGGTTCTATTTGTGGAAATGGCGTGGGCTGTTTGTGAAAATCAACGGTATCATGAAGAAGATTGTCTACCACAGAATCTTAGTGCATCATGGAATCCCTTCTGGACTGAGTCTGATTGGTCAAAGGTTCATATACCAACAAGACAATGATCCCAAGCGTACTTCAAAGTTGTGCAGAGACTACTGGACCAAGAAAAAGCAATCTGGAGTTCTGGAACTGATTGACTGGCCAAGTCAAAGTCTAATTTGAATTCTATTGAACAAATTTGGGATGAAGTACATTCAAAGATTGATCACAGAAAAGTTTAATCTAAAGCAAGGCTGTAGGAACAGCTAGAAACTATTTCGAACTCAATAACAAAAGAGAGATTGTTGAAAAGTACATAAAAACAATGGCAGCAAGAATGCAAGCTGTTATCAAGGCCAAAGGAGGCCATACAATATATTCAGTTTTTTGGTTATTATGTGTGAAAAAGGACTATTGAGTTGTTTTAGTTTGTTTGCCAAATAAATAACACTAACATTTTTAGTTTTAAACAAGTGTTTGAAGGATTTCTAAAGTATTCATGTTTTCCTGTTTTTATGACAGGTGATCTAATACATGTGTTAAGCACTGTACATGTAGTGAGCTTACGGTTTGCAGTGGAGTGACTCTCAATCTCTCTCATGTCACACAGAGGAGCAAGCCTTCCGAAAAAGACGGCTCTGCATCAAGTTTATTCCCCGGGACTCCACAGAGGCAGCCATCTGTGACATCCGCATCCTGGGACGCTCCAAGCAGGCTCCTCCTCAGTATACCTTTATAGGGTGAGCAACTTTGGATAAATGTCAGTTTTTGGTTCTAGACTTGACAAATAGGTGTCCAAAGAAGAAAATCTTACAAATTATCACACTGATGCTTTTTTTGTATTCAGGTGTTTGAACTGTAATTACACCCAAATTACCGTTTGAAACTGCTCGGGGTGTAACGGGCTATAAAAATCACAGTTTAGTTTGAACCTTTGTTCTGCAGTCATGGTTCAATGGGTCTGCTTGGCCATAGTTCTTATTTTAACAGTCTAGGCACTTTGATGCTTTGTAGTGGCTGTAAAATACATCAAATAAACAATTTCCGTTAAGGTAATTGCACTATATTCATAGTTAACTTCGATTATCCAGCAAAGCCAGCACTGCCATTATAGCTTTGAAAATTGCACATAGTAAGACCCTGGGTGTGTCGTTTTGTCTTCTAGGCTGCTGCATACCGTTTGTACTCATTGGGAATGGGAAAAAGCATTGTGTGTTTAGCTACCAAGCCACATTGGATACCAACATGAATTCAGTCAAGGTGTCCTCACCATAATTCAGTTGCTTTTCCATGTCAATGTTTGTAGCTGCAATCCAAAGTTGATAGTACAGAGAAATATATAATCAGCCTATTTAGTTAGCTTGGGCATCTGTCACAAACCACGCACACAAACCTTCGTCCAAACATGAGTGGTTGATTGGCAGGTCCTTCCTCTTGCCTTTAAGTCACTGCCAAAAGCCCTTGTGCACTGTGCTTAAGCCTTTCTATGGTTGGAAAACCCCTGTACTACATTTCTAAGTAGCCTTTTTTAATGCCTGAACTTGCTGGGAAAAAAAGTCAATTTGACCACTAGAAAAGTGGCCAACTGACCAAAAGTCATTCCCCTGTGGTTCTAATATTTGGGACATCCCCACCATTTACCTTCAGTGTGAACTCCACGTGGTGGCAAATTGATTTGTACAGTGTGAGCAGAGAAGTTTTTTGATTTTGGCTAAACAGAGAGTCTGATTTAAGTGTCAGACTCAACATGCTGTGTGCGTTAACACATCGCAGATGTTTAATGAAACTAGCCAAGTGTCAGCCGAGGTTTCAAGTGGTGCACTAACAGAATGCAATATAAATAAATAATTGATAGGGACTATTTGGCTCGCAGAGCATACTGAGGAAACATCACACTGAACTTGTGAACCAAATAGTTCATGTGTTCATGTACCGTTACGGTCCTCCTGCAGTTTCAGCGTTCTCAACACATCAAGCCACATGGGTGATGATGGTGAAATGTCACACTTTTGCACATATTGGTAAATGTACAGGGATTTTGTTTATGGTGAAAACAAGCTGAAGCATCTCTGAACAAATATGTATTTATAGAAGTAAGTGGATTAAGTGCTGGTTTTTGTGATGTCCAGTGGTGCTTTAGTTTCAGTTTTTTTGGCATAAATGTGATTTGAAACATCATTAGATTTTTACATAAGTCCTAAAAGTAGATATGGAATGTCATTTAAACAAGATCAAAATATTGTACTTGGTCTTTCTTTATTGTGGAAAATAGTGAAATATTATCCATCTGTGAATGACAAGTGTATGTGAAACTTGATGATTAGAGGTTAATTTGAAGTTAAAATTAGAGTCAGGTGGTCAGGCAGTGGGACGATAGTCAGGTAGCAGTAAGGTATGAGTAATTTTGTCAACAGTCAAGAACCAAAACAACAGGTTCAGAACAACGTTTGTACACATTTGTCCACATGGATGCAAGGGAAGCATTTCTAGCCTTTGGAAAACATGGATGTAACATTTACAATTTATAGGTTGGCTGGAGCAAAATATGTAGTGAATGTTCTTTGTCTGAAGCCCTTCCTCTTTTATACAGTATGTTTGTAAGTTTATTCTGCTGTTTCTGCTTAATAATGCTTATAAAAACAATTTGACAGAGAGCTCAACAACATGGGAATCTGGTATCGCATGGGGAATGTACCTCGGGCCCAGGACTCCACACACACACCATCTACCAACAACATTCAGAATGTGAACTCCTCCTCCAGCTCAGCTCCAGTCCCAGCAGCTCCGATGCCCAAGTATGTCCACTCTAATGATGTGTTTGTATATTCTTGTACTGGCTCTGTAAATAAGAAACAAAAGACACCGGCTCTGTATGTTCCAAATGTAGTGATGTTTCACCAGAGTGAAATATAACAGTTTTTCTATGTGCAGTCGACTGGAAGCAGGCCTGGTTGTAAAATGTGACAGTCACAGGAAGGAGGAGCCTCCAGTATCTCTCCTTCACACACAGCGAGTGCAGCAGCCTGTCATTGAAGGAGCCGCCCAGTGCTGTCAGAGTTTGTCCCCTGTTCTCCAGACAGCTCACATGTATCTAACATGTAGACACATGGCTGTGCCTCTCCAGTCAGGCCTTGATTAAGGCCCGAGAGGCACATGTTCACTGTCCTTGAACATCCTTTCTTTAAGGAAACGGAAACAGATCTATCTTTAGATCACAGTCGAAGCAGGAAAAGGTGCTTTCAGCTGGAAAACATAATAAAACCGTGTGTGATTGCTGCCACGTTGACACAAAGAAAGAAGAAAAGCTCTCAGCTGCGCAGTTAAATATCTTTAAAATGTCTCATCACTTTGATTGCTGGTCTTGAATGGAGATGTTTTCTATTTTATCACTCACTCACTCATTCATCTGTATTTATACTTGTTAGTAGTGACAGTGTGTCAAATTGTAGAAGCAAACAGAAAAGAAAGAAAAATGAACAACACAGTTGGTTAAATAAAAATATTAAAATTCCATGTTCAGGGAAGATGATTTGTTGATAAAATAATAATAATTAAAAATGTAGAATCCAATACAGTTATACAAAACAGTTCCGACAAGAGTTTTGGAGGTTTAACTTTGTCATTGCACACAGTACAAGGAAATGGAGTCTCTTTGCATATCGTAGCTAATTATGAAGCTGGAGTCAGAGCACACGGTCAGCTGCCAGCCAACAGTGGCAGCTTGGCACTGCTGAGGCTTGAACCCATAACCCTCTGATCAGTAGCTCATTACCTTAACCAATGAGTCACCGTTACCCTAAATTTGCTCATGGTGCGCACATGGTGCACGCATGGTACGTACAGGCCCCGACGGGCTGGAGTGGGCGTGACACACAGGCCGCATTTGGCTCGGCTATTTGGCTCGGCTATTCGGCTATTCGAGTCCAGCCCTATTTGCCAAATGTTAAAGGAACATTGTTGAACATTTTTGACTCCTAGATGTATAGTTACAGCACTGTGTCTTCTGCAAAAAGATGGACGTGGCAGTTTTCTAGTGATGAAACAATATTGATAATATGGATAGTCAAATGAGCTGGACCTGACAGTGAACCCTGTTGAACAGTTTTTGTTACAGCTCAGGTAGATGTGCGCATGGTTGTCTCTCTGATGGGCCATTCCTAAACCAATCTCATGCCTGACATTAATGTTGATTGTGTCTGTCTACATCCTGAACATAAAACAGTAAAGCTGTTTGCTTTTTCCTGCTCCCTAATGTGTTTTAGATTTAGATCAAATTTCAGATTGAAATGTGCTAGTTGTACATGTTTAGTAACATAGCTTTCGAGTGAGCAGATGGAGGGAAATGATAGAGACACCACGGTAGAACTTCCATGTCTTTCCTTACCTGCAATCCATTCCATTCCACTCCTGTTCCTCCAGACTTAGAACATAGAGTCATTCTAAGTCATTACATAAACAATCTAATAGACTGAACATCAGCACAGTATGGACACATAGCAGTTGATAGATGCAGCAATTCCATTTTTCTTAACAGAGCTAACCTGTGTTTTATTTTTTTGTTTTGTTCCAAGGCATATTTCCATGACCCTCCCTGCCAGCTTCAGAGGGAAGAACACAACCAGACCAGACTATGAGCACCAGAACTCCAACCTTTATGCTATTTCAGGTCAGCAACAGTTTGTTATGGTCCTTCAACATCCTTGGCCAAAATCACACACAGTACAAACAACTGAAATATTAGTGTCTGAAGATAAGAATGATGATAGAGGCCTTGACTGTTGGGGGACCTCCTAAGTTGTCCCATGGTTTGATTTGGTGTGAATTACACTTTACATACAGTTATGGAGAGTTGTCAGCCGTCAGCTGCTCTATACAGTATGACTTTATTCATTTCATTTATTAAACCCCATGCAGCCATATGAAAGCACCAGGCCACATACAAATGGGTGACAAATTAAAGGAAGAACCAACATAAAATGTCTTAGTAGGATACTGTGTCACCACATGCTGCCAAAACGGCCTCAGTGCTCCTTGGCATTGATTCTCCAAGTCTCTGAAACTACACTGTATGATTCATCTAATTTTCATCTGACCCTTTAGTGACTGGTTCTGCGCTATGCTTGAGGCAACTGTCTGTCTGGAAGAGAATACTCAATCAGGATAGAAATTCTTCATCACATGATAAAGATAACGACTCAAAACAGCTTTTTAATGATAAGCAGAGAGTGCTCACTTTAAGGGCACAAGTGGACCCAAAGTATACCATAAAATGTCCCCACAGTACAACGTAGCCACCAGATCACCTCCCAGTAGGGGTTAGGTTCTGATTTTTCCTTTTATTTGTCACCTGTCTGTATGATGATGTGCTTATTGGAGAAGTAAGGTACCAAAGAGCAGTGGAATTACACACAATATTCACAGTGTGTAACCTTTAATAAATTACATGCACATAACCCCAGGCTCCTACAGAGTAACCACACACATCTCAGACAGGTTGGTTGCTTGCTTGGTGGTCTGTTTATGGAGGAGACTTCACATTAATGGGTCCTATCATCCCATATATCAGAGCTTCCTTTCCAACTTTTATTTTAGCAAAAGTAGCATTTAATGTTCTTTGTCTTGGAATGTGCTGTTATAATTATTTACAATGTGAGGTATAGTGGAATTCTGACTGTAATCATGTAAAATTGAGGTGGCTATGGAAAGGGCTTCACCAAAAATTGTACATCATTTGTTTCCATCATAATAATTAATTAATCTTAATGATTATTTTGTTGGGTCATTGAGGACGTCTTCACTGTGGTTAGTTATTTTTTTAGTGAATGTTTTTCTTTAAGGCATATTCAGCTGACATTCTTTGAACTATGTCTTTCAGCAATGGATGGGGTGCCTTTCATGATCTCCGAAAAGTTTGCCTGTGCCTCATCTGATGTAAGTTGCCTGAGCTCAGTCCTAAGTTTCTTGGTGGCAGGTTGACATGCGAACAGAGAACATGTGTAGACCACCTGTAGCAGTATCCACTGATGTACATCCACACCTCTGCTCAAGTTGTACCTCTACAGTGCCCTGCAACAATATATTAACAGTAGAGTGTTAACTACTACTACTGCTACTACTAACAGTACCAACACCAGGACATTGAATGTTGGCTGCTGTACAACCATTGAAAAAAAAGAAGAATGCATAACCTATAAGTAATTTGTCCTCTTTTACTACTGACATCTCTGTTGAAATAGGTATAATAGTAATAGGCTAAAAAGAAAGAATTGCATAAAAACACTTGAACCTATTCATAAAACTGCAGTGTAACTATCCTCTCTATGTTCAGCTGCAGCAGGTGGATCTGATGGGCATTACAATCAAGTCACTGGCTGAGATCGAGAAAGAGGTGAGTAGGAAAAATGTAATCAGGCTGAAGCTGTTACAGCTTAATATTCAAAGAGAATCCTAGCTTATTACAGTTTCTTATTCTCATAGCAATCATTTCTTTGCGTTGTGATATTGTGCTCACTAGTGATTGCTGAACCCCTTCATTTAGAGTCCATCTTAGAGCAAACACACCTGCAATGTCAGTAATAATTTCACCTTTTCCCCTGGATGTTGGTTTAGCAATACTGATACCGACCAGACTGCAGTAAAGAGGAAAAATTCTTAAGCAGAAAATATCATTTATAAAGCAAATAATGTGCTGGTTCTCTAAATGTTGAAGAGTATTTGGCAAGTAGTAGCGATTTAAATTAAAAACAACAGATCATGTGAGATTGGATTAAGTCCACATTGCCATGTATAGTTTCATCAAACGAGTAATAAACAAATGGAGAATTGTCCCTGTAAGTGTAATATATGTCCACCAGATGTCAGTGTGATCCTGAGTTGGATCTTAGTAAATCTTTGTGAATCAGACATTAATATGTACCAAAACTTAAGGTTATGAACATAACCCCAGGCTCTCTGATTAGCATGAGTGAGTGTGTTACTATGGGAACACCTTTTGTGTTACCTCATTCGAAGCTCAAATACCATTACATCATTCAGGAGACATTATGGAGATATTATGTGAAACTAAGTGTCCCTCAGGTCAGTTGATGTGAACCAGTCGCCTGCTTTCACAAACCGCAGCAGAGAGGCATGCGTCATCATCCTGAATTTGTACAACTCTTATTGTGGCTTTCTTTCTCAAGGTGGAAATTTCCTCCAATAGAATACTGGCTGAGCTGCTCTAAGCATGAAAGATAATTTCTTTGAAATGGGGTGGGGTGATCTGGAATTGGATCCTGTAGCCGTTCTGTATTGTCTTCAACACACATTTAGATTGAGTGCAGGCAGGCCAGCGCTCCCTCTGCAGGGAGAGAGAGCTGACTCTGGCAAAAGTAGTACATAGGCGCCCTCTTGAGGCACGCAGCACTTTCACATTGTCCATGTTAAAACAGATAAGATTGTTGTATTTTTTAACGTACATGTCTTTTTCATATGTTTCATGTCTTTTGACAGTGCCCTCGACAAGCTGCTTGGTTGCGCATGTCAAGACATTTTATTCTTAAAGAATGCATATGAGAAGTGATAGAGTTACAGTACTGAACACATTTTCTCTGCTTCCCTCTGGTGGACACTGTAGCATGATCACCAACCTGGGATCTGCAATCTGCATGTTCACGTCCCGCTAAGCATGCTCTGGAACTGAGCTGAACTTGGGCAGAGCGGCTCAGCTCCGGGTCAGCTGGGCTCACTGTCCCCTGGAGGAGAAGTTATCAGGCTGGCTGCTTCTTTTTCTCTTCCTTCCTATCGCGGTTGCAGATGGGGGTGATAGGGCCACTTGAGGTCTGGCCTGAGGAGATTGTTTCCAACTGCTGTGGCTGGATGAGAGGCAGCCTACGTGAATGACTGGCATGGCGCCGGGGAAGCAGCGGGCTGAGCCCTAATCGACAGGCAAATTTTTAGCGCCTCATCATCTCTCTTTTTCTGCTCATATCTGTTCTTGCACCAAAGACACCTTGGGAGACGACCAGAGTGTCAAGGAGCTCCTCTTTATCCTTGGTCGTCAGGTTAGTGTGCCTGAGCCCACGTGCCCTCTCCTGAAGAATCTTAAGGGCTCATGGCTCTCCCTGTAGCTTGGATGCCTACTTTGTAGAGGTGGAGAGCATGGTCAGTTATAATGCAGATTTCTTTCCACAATGTGGTACCTGGTTTTTCAGTCATGTCCTCTTCTACCTCAGCTTGGTCTGCCATTAGGATAGAAGAGGCGCTGAGGACTCTCGCTGACAGAGCCGCTGTCTTGTGACACTTATCAGTGAGACTAGACTGGAAGTGGTGTGTCTTAGAAAGGAGGGACGGAGCTGCAGAGGACAGGGAAGCCCCTGGGTGAAGGTGGGTTGCTACCAGCGGCTCAATGGGTGGCATCTGGTGGATACTGTGGGCTTCCATCCCCTCATAATCCAACAATGAGCCTCCCACAATGGGGTGTTTCTTGCTGTCTGGCTTGGCTCTCCATGTCACCACTATCTCATCGAGCAGCTCCACGAAGAATGGCAACATCTGCTCTCCTGTCTTTTTGCCATCAAAACAAGAATTTGCAACCTCGGCTTGAACAACAGGCCACAGGATGTCGAGTTTCGCAGCTGCACATTTGCACATATCCTGGATGTCGAGATCCAGGGGAGAAGAAGCCACCGGTTGCTTACCTTCCTCCACAGTAGGGGGCTTTGCAGCCCTGGGGGTGGCCACTACGAAGATTGAGTCTCCTTAATCGTCGTCAAACAACAGGAGCTCTGAGGTTGGCCTACTCTCCCCCGACTCACCGTTCCCCTCCAGGATGACTTGGCAGCAGCAAAGCTCATGCATCCCTTGTCTGTCTCCTCCAACGAGAAGATGGAAGCCAGCAGCTGAGGGTTGTCCTCTGCCCAGCTTGGTCCAGGTGTAGTGGCCAGAAACTCAAAAAATAGTGCTACTTTTTAATAGGTATTGCTACCTGTGAGGTATTCTTACCTGTAGTGTCGAAAATATTGCTACTTCCTGCGGTGAAAGTGTTGCTCCTCAGCACCAGAACTAGCTGCAGAATACTATTGCTACTGTTTGTGAGCTAGCGTCAAACTGTACTACGAAGAGCGAAGCACCTGGTGACAGAATTGTGCACTCGGTCTGTGGATAGTTTAGCTTAGCACCTGGTAATACAGATTTTGACGGGCTTCTGTGTGAAGTGAGAAAAAGTATTTTAGTAACAACTGACGCTATGTCAGCCTGTTACATAGGAGGAGGGTCCCCAGCCCTCCAAACAAAGGCGTCTTTAGTGCCAGCCAAAAGGGGCTGACGTAATGGTGTTTGAGCTTCTGATGAGGTGACGCAGGAGTCAATCTCATAGTGGGACACAAAATGAGTGCTATGAAAGACAACCTGATATGATGTATTGATATTGATATGTATTGGTAGAAGAAAGACGGTTCATACAGCCAATTTCAATCCTACGCTCAGGTCAGATGTGCAGCATCAGTTACTATGGTGATCTACAAGGTTAAAAGAGAACCACCTTTGTGACACTGAAAACTCTGACTTTGGCTGCTTTGCAGAAAAACACAACCTCAAGTCGGTAATTGTTGTTGCAGCTTACGTAATAAAAGTTTGACTTATTGAAGAATGTCGTAATTGCTGTCAGTCCATACTACAGTGTAATAACATTTGACTCTCCCAATAGTATGATTACAGTTTCCGCACAGAGCACAGTGCAGCAGCTCGACTGCCACCCAGTCCAACGCGGACCTCCCTGAGCTCCGAGGCCTGAGCATCCCCTCTAGCAACACCCTTGCCCATGGACACCTGCAGGAGAGACCTGTACACAACTACTGAGAACCTGCCCACAGCAGTGATTCCCCACCTCTCCAAGTTAACTGACTGAGAAGAAAAAAACAACAAAAACGATGCATTTTCTAACTTCTGCGTGATGTTGTGGTCTCTGTGTGTTAGTTGTACTATTGAAATATAACAGAAACATTGGAACTCGGTGGGTCAGGCTGAAACCACTACATGCAGCATTTTGTGCTGAATGAATAATAGAGGAATCCTGCTCATATTATTTTTAAATACTTTCCTTTAAAGAATCATAAGTGTTGAGCCCTGATGACAGAAAAAAAACAGGCCCCCTCTGAAGGACTTATTTTTAGCAAGATAAAAGGATTACAGAGGTACTTTGTTTTGACGGAGGGTATCTGTTAGGCCTTTCCTATTTCAAATAACTGAGTCTGAAGCAGATGTCATATTTGCCTTCCTTGTTTATGACATACCTGCTGCTCTGTTCTGAATCAAAGCACCAGGAAGGCAAGTCATGTGTTACAATTACTAAAGCAAGCAATGGGATTTTTTTATTTTTTTTGTTCAACTGTACTGGTGTTCTTTATGGGAAATGAGTCTGATTGTTCTCTAGATATTACTGTAATATTCTGGTGTGACTGTGAGTGCATTTTGTGTTCGGGAATTTTAAATGTGCTTCCTGTTTGCCACAAATATTCTGTTAGCCACTCCTTCACTTTCTCTGAGCCAGCAGCTCGGATGACTTCTAGAACCACTGTTACATATTAAAGCTTTCTAAAGCAAGGCGCAGGTTACACTGCTGCACTGCACATACCACTATTGTGACTGTTGTCAACCGTAGCTAATATACATTGAGCTATTAACATCAGAATTTTGATACTGATACCAAACAAATATCTTTTTAATACCTTACTGCTTTTTTTTTTTTCCTTTGAAAGAAGAACATTCAGTTTTTGCCTCAGCACACCCCAAACACGTTTTGGTTGGTACCAAAAAAGCATTAAGTTTTGATACCCAACTCTTTACAGTATCCTAACTATTTGTACAGTTTTACTTTCTTTATGTTTAACAAAGATTTTGCAGCTTATGTATTGGCTGCAAAAGTGCTCTTCTTTTTATTTGATTACATTGGTTACATGTGAGAAAACGTGTCTGTAGTGTATATTTTTCCTTCGTAACAATGATTGAGCTTCTTTACTTTCTGCCCTTAAAAAGAAAAAGCTAAACATGAAATAGACATGTAAAAAACTTCTAATGAGAGTGATGGAATTTAGACACCAAGAATGGGTCGCTGCTCGGTATCTGAACAAACCTGTGTTTTTATTTGTCCTCAGTGCATTTATAACCTCGAGCTTCATTTCATTCAAGTAATTTATAGATTTGTTGTTGATTTTGACCTATTGTTCTGTAAGATCAGTTGTTGAGTCTCACTGACAGTAACTTCAGAGCAACATTGAAAACATTTTTTGCCAGGTTCAGACCACACACCTGAGCAAGGTGATGGGCCTTGTACAAAAGACCAAGGGTGGTGGGACCCAAGATGGCTGTCAGTTACAACCGTTGAGGATTTGACTCCGTGTGGTGTGCCATACTTGATGGCAACAGATCCAGCATCAGCGCAGTGGATGATGTCCTGACAAGAAGAATTGATTTAAGTTGTGTTTGCTTCTTATGTTAACTTCCGCTGTGTTCAGTGATGTTGAAGCATTGAAGTGAAAGATTAAGATAAAAGAAAAGAAAAAAAAGAAAGAAAACAGTCATCTGTTCAGGTTTTTCAACATCCAGTATCAGACACATCAGTGGAGACACCACTGTTTGTTCACTTTTTTTGCCTGAAGCCCCAAATCCTCCTTTTTAAGATGACAAGCTGTTAAAGGTTGGGCGCTGTTTATAGTCTATTAAATGTCTCCGCCAAGTCATAGAAAGATGCTATAACTCTACAAGACAGAAATGTCCCATAACCTGAAGACAGTTCTGTCTTTATAAAGAGATGTGACTCTGTTGTTGTGATGAAGGCACTGATCCACTTCTACGTGACATAAAATATGCAATGTGAGCCAATCTGGTAGAAGTTCATCATGAGAACCGGCCTCAAGTTGCTCAGCTGTTGCTGTTTGAGGACTCTCCATTGTTTGAATTTTGACTTTTGTTTAAAAGTCCACAGAATCTGTGATGTACGGAAATTGGCTATATATGAATTTTGAGTTCGCTTCAGAAAGGTGTCTGTGTGTTCAGGTTGCCTTTGACTTTCTCTTAATGCATTAACTAAATCCTTGGTGTTACATAAAAGATCATGTTTTATTTTGTTTATGTTACAGTTTCATGCAGCTCATGTTACAAGAAAACCTGTTTTGTTATTCTGCAATCTTATTAAGTCATTAATGCACGGAGTAGGTCTTGTTGCTTTATGTTTGTTTGTCTAATTTATTAGTCATTTCAGTATTGTGACCATGTTGTCTCAATGATTGTTTTGTTTTCAGAAATGTATCATATAAGAACTGTCATTTGCACTGCTGACGTGATCGATGAGCTGAAAAGATAAATTGCTCGTGTCCATGTGAAGCTCTGTATCTGAGCTGAGTGTATCTGCCTGCTCTGTGATAAACTACACATGTATCATTTCTTAGCTCTAGTGTTCACCTACAGCCAGTTTTGATGAAACATTTAATAGCTAACTAATAAGCCGTCTGCATTAACAACAAATAAGAATCCTGCTTTGATGTTTCTGTTAGTTTTCATGCATGGTGACATGATGAGGTGTCAGAGGTTTCAGTACGACACCTATTTTTTGTAGGTTAATGATTAAAAGTCACAGATTTTGTCCCATAAATAGATTTTATTCACAAAGAATGAACAAAACTGTGTCAGTTGAATTTGTAATATGAGGGAGTTTCATTAAATTGTGATGAACTGTCAAATCCTGGCTCTAAATGGGAATTTTATTTTGATAACAATGGTGATTTCACTCAGCTTCAAGCCTGATCAATACTGTACTGATAAGTATGCATTATAAACATTCATATTCCTTAAAATATCTTTCTTAACGACCTCTTAAATATGGGTTTTGAGGCTTTCACTGCATAAAAATGGACAAAACAATGAGTTTCATGTCAGATTAATGTCTGTGCAGAGCAATAAATAAAAATAATCTGTTTTCATGTTGAACTGTTAAATGTGGGAAGTTTTTCTCACTTCAAATTACTAGTCAAAATACCACTTTTCTATGTATTGAACCAAACATGAGGTGGCTCTTTATTGACCCCTGCACAGTGGTGTTATGGCAGGTGGCTACACTTTGGCCCCCCTAATGGTCAGCTTAACCAAGCGACATGTCTTTCCTGTTTAATAATGTCATGTAGAATGTATAATTAGGTACATTTACTCAAGCATTGTAGTTATTGTGTTGACTGTACTGTAATTGAAAGGTGCTTGTGCTTAACTGGAGTGTTTTCAGTTTGGCCAAATTTACACTTGTGCTTCAACATAGTTTACAGAGAAAATTTTAATTTTTTTTTATTCCAGTACATTTTACAGCTTGACTCACTGTTTATGATTTCACCAAAAAGAGATATGTTGAGCTGATATAAGTGGTTGGACCTTTACATATTATATTGCCACGAGCTTGTATGATACCGGTGCCTCTCATATAATTAGCATATGGTGGGAAAAGTTTCATATTTTTCATCAGACATTGCTCAAAGTGAAAATTAGGCCATGATTTGTCAAGAAGGCATACAGGTCTGAGGCACCGACTGATGATCTGACTAAGTCACCAGCTGCTGTCTGGGCAGAAGAACTCTGACAGGTCTGGTATGAATAATGCTTAAGTGGTTACAGTTTGATAGACTACACAGACCACCAGCAAAGATATTACAGCATGTGACACAAAGAACATCAGCATTTGTACACATTTCAACCTGATTCATCTTACTGACTGGTCCTAATTGTACAGCCGTCTGTTGCACACAAACTCCCCACAGTGCTTTGTGTTGGTGCCACCGCAGCTTTTCTAAACTGCTGCCTAATTTTCCACAACCCTTCCAACTGCTCAAAGATGTCACAGACAGTATTGTAAAAGCATGTTTACAAGGACGGCAGCTGCTGCTGATTTCCTAAAAAAGTGTTTTAAGGCCATCTTTGACAAATCCTGCTCGTTTAAATCATAGAACTGATGGAAGTCACTGTGTGGGGCACATTTCATCAAAGACTTCACTGTGTTTTGACACTCTTTTATCCTCATGTATACATGTGTTGCCTTAATTTTACAGGCTGGGAGTGGCATCTGATGGTTGCATAGATCAAACCTCCTCTTTTCCTTCAACTAGTATATAAAACAGCTGCTGGCAAATTAACAGAATGAGCTTTAGAGTTTGCTAATTAGACTTCACACAAAAGCAGCGTGACACTGGCCTCAATATCAAACTGAAAACAGTGTTGTCTTGGTCTCTGCTCTTTTTAATTCTGCATGACAATGTCTTGGTCACAAATGGTCTTCTTTAGTAAAGGTGAGGGTGTGAGCAACCTTGTGGTAGATAATCTCACCAGTGGTCACACGCAGCACATATACTGTGATGCTCCCTCCATGCCAAGCCACCTAACCCTTCCAGGTTAAGTCATAGATTTTCTTCCTAAATCCTAAAGCTCTATTCCAAATACGTTTTAGTAATGAACATTTGAGGTTTGTGCCTCAGAAATAAAAATCATTATTTTTGGGTTGATTAGCTCTTTTCCTCTGACTTTCTTTGAGTACAGCCTCAAGATGAATGTGATTGATGTTGAGTTGGTTGCTGGTATGATTGAAGAGGAGATGCTGTTTGGAGCTTGTCATCAGCTGCTGGTTGTGAATGTACACTCTGTGTTGGATGTGTAAGAACCCAGAGACGCGTTAATCTCCTGGACATTATCTGAAACTCTCATCAGCCCTAAATGCCTCCAACAGTTTCTTATGTCCAAGCATCCACTGACCTTAGGCTTTCAAAGTTGATCAATATTATAAGGTGCTCTGATCTTCATTGCCAGTGTTCATATGCTTCTGTTCCTGCTCTTCTATGACTGGGTGCCTGGAATGGTTGACCAATGCGAGCGGAGGTGAGCCTCAACAACATGGACTCTGGGAAGGCCCTACCCAGCCCTCGGTTTGCTCGCCTTCATCTCCTATGCCAACGCTGTGGTCTCTCCCCTCATCTACGCAATCTATTCCTTTTGCTCATCCTCCATAGTGTATGAACATTTTCTCTGCCTAAATGCATTCATATTGCTCAAGGTCACGAGTAGCTCATATTATACATAATCTGTGATAACTACATATCATTGGGACACCATTTCATGTAAGTTCATGAAGGTCGTGTATGCCTGCACATATTCAAAGAAAATGATGCTGCACATAGTCTCATATCTCACATAATATATTTCCTTTGTATCAAGCCATTATAATAGTGCCTTGCCAGATGTTCATCTGTTTGCATTCAGCATGCTGCTGATTCTATGCATTCAAATGAGGTCATGCTACTTGCATGAGTTCAAAGGAAATGCGACATGCTTGTCACTACGTGTAGGCTAATTTTATTGAAGTCCATTTAATTTCAAGATGACTCTGCTAATCTGCTCACTTCAGGAGCGCAGATTTGGGGCTTTGTGGTCTCAGGGACTGTCTGTATCAGGCTTGCTCAGATTGTTCCAGAGCATCACTTGAGCAGATTCACCGCCAAACTCAAATGCATATCATTCCAAATAAATGGGTAAATCTAACAAAGTGTCCTGTCTGAAAGATAGAAAAATTACTTCATTGATTTCTTTCTTCTTCTTTGATGAGTTTTTGTTGTTGTTGTTGTTGTTGTTGTTGTTGTTTTTAGCAGTTGACAAGCAACTGGTTTTGTTTCTGGCTTCTTCTACCCTAATTATTAGAGCCATGTGTAACATAGCCTATACCGCCATCCTCTGACAACACAATGCAGCCTCTTGTATTTGCTCCAAAGAAGTTAATGGAAACATGACTAATAAGTATTTTCTTTCTTTAAATTTCTTATGACTTTTAAAAAGTTTGCTTCGAATTTGCTTGACAGTTTAATGGAAACACAGCTCGAGTTAAACTGGCTACAGAATATATTTGATGTGTACGCTCACTGACCTCCTACCTCTACGTGTTCATGTCACCCAGCAACAGTGAACACACAATGACTGTGGACATACTAAATATAAACTAGTGTATTGCAGCTCTCTCTCCACAACCACCACAGTCTCGACCGTCCTGGTCTGACAGGATTACAACCCACCAGCCACAGCGTCAGACAGACAGGAGCCCACTGTGTGCATACCTGTGTTTGAATGTGTGATTTTCATAACAGGATGTGTGTGTGTGTTTACAGGTAATTGTATTACTAAGAGTGTCTATTGGGAGAAACAAATGGTTGTATGCATGATGAGAGTGAGCAGCAACCCCAGTGGATGTGGGTAACGATGGAAAGAAATGCTACGGAAAAGTTAAAGAGGCAGATGAACTGTGAGGTGTTGTGGATCACTAAGTAGGTACCTTATGTATGCCTATGTATGTCATTTAACTTTTGACCATAATGCCTTAATTCAAATAAACTTTATACACATGTGCAAGGTTGACAATATTGACTCAGTGTTGAAGCAGCAAGTGGCACATGGTAAATGTCAAAAATACTAGTTAGATGATATGTCAGCAGTCATACATTAAACTGTTTATCAAATTCCTATCAAATAAAAAATGAGTAGATAAACCACTGCAATTGATGCAGTTTTAAAGTACTGATAAAATAAGGGGTGTTTCAGAGGTGTCAGTCAACTTCAACTACTGTATATCATAAGTAACTGTATACAGTCAGTGTTGAACTCACATTTGGCTCTTTTTCCTAAACCAGAATTAAACAGCGACAAATGATAATGACACAAATCACAACTCAAACTCTGAAGCTGCGTCATTATAAGATATGGGCATCCTATTTGCTCAGTGATGGGATTTTGGCATCAGCAATACACAAAATGATTACTACTAAAGTACCGGATGTCGAAATAAAATATATCTGAATGCGAAGACTGTTGGTGTTTATTTTGAAGGCACATATGAAAATGAATCCAACAGTTCCCTCAGCCATCAGCTCTGGTGTAGTCTAAAATCATCTGTGGTGGAATCAGAGCCGCTCCTGATTTAAGATGGCTTCTCTTTTTGCACCACATTTGCCTAATGAAGGAGTAGCACTGAAAGATTGCTTGAATGTATCTTTGCAATTTTGACAGTGCATGGGAGTTTGATTAAAAAATTATCCTTAATAATGGAATGGAAACAAATTATTTTGACTTTGTTCAATCAGCTAGTGTTTTCTACATGTGATTGTGTTATACAGAATTTGTGTTGATGTTACTAATGTATTGGCAGCATAAAGGCCCCCACAGGTGGAGTGGATGAATCCTTGGACCTAAGTGTAGAGGATGAAGGTCAAGATCTAGTGTAGAAAAAACAAGAAAGAAGCAGAATAATCAATGTATCTGAGTATTTTGACTTTTTTTTTTACACTTATGTTCCAGTCTCATTTTGGTCCTCTTAGTCCAGTCTGAAGTCCAGTTTACACCCTTGTGCACCTTTAAAAGTGCATCTGCAACTCAGGTTTAATATTGGGCAACACAGACCCCACTGTTGTGTTAGGTGCTCACAATGACCAGAAATAAGTTTGGAGGAGGGCGACACGATGGAGAAGTGGTTGGTACTGTTGCCTCACGGCTCGAAGGACCTGGGTGGTACTGGTGCTTTACAAAACAAATGGAATAATGAATAAGAGATTACATCCACATTCTTCAGGAGAACCTAAAATCATGAGCCAGAAGGCTGGATCTTGGATGCAGTTGGGTGTTCTAACATGACAAGGACCACAAACACACATCAAGAGTGGTAAAGAAATCTGAGTAGAATTAGGGTTTTAAATCGGTCTTCCCAAAGTTCTGATATAAACCCCATCTGGGGCACCTGCTCCTTTGCCCCTTGATGCCCTAAGTGCCCTTTTGTTGTTTATTTTGTTTAATTTTTTGTGGGGTTTTTTGTGTTTGTTTTATTATTTATTTTTTTTGTAAATGTGTGTGTGTGTGTGTGTGTGTGTGTGTGTGGCCCAAAATAATAAATAAAACAAAAAATAAGAATGATTCAGATCTACCGTTGGTCGGTCACATGATCCACGGAGACGGCCCTCACTGCCCTGGAGCTCAGCGCTAGCGCGCTGCTAGCGAAGACCCGAGGGAGGACTTCATGGACTGACGGTCCGGTGAGTGGGCTTTGCAGCGGTATTCGTTTGTGAGGGTGTATTCTTGATGACGGACGAAGTGAAGTGAGTCTCTTATGTGTGTCCCTCTGACTCTGCACAAACCTCTCATAAGTTATAGCCGCTAGTTAACCACACACAGCGAGGTGAGGGGAAGAAGTATGCCAGGCTGCTTTCTGTTGCTTTTTGTTCGAGCTCTGACTCCTTTCAGTCCTCACCGCTGTCTTCTCAGTAGGACAGGAGGAAGCTACAACCAGGCAGCATCACAGGAGTGGGCTGAGTGGAGCTACTGACAGATAAGTTCATAACCTCGTTGTGACATTAACAGTGACTCAACATGTCTCCTGTTTCACTTTAACTCTCTTTGCCATGTGTCATGACAACTGACACGTGCTTTGTCACGCTTTTCATTTGTTGCATTGCTAAAGTTGTGCTAACCTAGCTCGAGCTACTCCTGTCTGTTTACGTTAGCAATAGCATGGCGGTAGTTATTCCAACCTAGCATAGCATTAGCTAACAGCTTAAAGCCAGTAAGTAACTGTAGAAATAACGTAAATGTACAAAATATGTGAGAGTACAGAACGACTGTTCATCACTCCGTCAGCTTGTTATTAATGATATCAATGTTAATTCAAATGCTCAAGGTATGTTTTGATTATCCATGAATCTAATAGTGTAGACAAAATGAATGCAGGAAATCACAACATGGTGGAAATGAGCTGCCTGACGGAGGCTGTGCTCTGCGAATGCTTTTATAGTTTCTTTATGTTTCCTTTGTCATGGGCAAAGTGTATTAGAGAGATGTATGATTTAACTGTCAAGTGAGTTACAGTGTTTGTCCTGTTTCTAGAGGCAATGAGGCATAGATCATGTTATTTCACTAAAACGATGCATATTCACATAATTTTGGGCTATTACAGTATAAATACAACAAAAATAACATTAATAATTAGAAGAATTTGAATTGTGATTTTCTCAAACTCTCATTTAAACATATCAGTACTTGTTTTTAACATTTGTGTGTGTACACACAAATTAGATATGATATGCATAAATATAAAAACTGGTTCTGTTTAGTTCAGTCAGCCTTGGCTGCAGCCTCTCAGCAAGGAGTCTCCTACAAACAATCAGCAGTATGACAGGTCACAGTCAGCCATTTTCAATGTTAGTTATCTTTGCATCTAGTCATGATCACATAACACTTGTTTAATCAGCTACTATCTCTCCCATGCTCTTTTTAGTGTCTACACTCTCAGATCAATGCAGCCCACCTCCAGCGATGTCATCATCATCAGCATCATCATCATCATCAGCAGCAGCATCAGCAGCCTCTTCACCAACCCCCTAAGCCGCAGCGGTTCAGTGTACCCCATCAGGTCAAACATAGACTGAGAAACGAGGTGTGGACACTGATATGGTATGTTGTGATTCCATGTTACATTCTTTATGAATATGGGTAACTACAGTTCAACCAGTTCTATTGTAAGGAATGTTTCTGTATGGTGTTTCAAATTCATGCTCCATGTGCCCTGTTTTATCTTTGAGCACCTGCCCCTCCAAAGGTCTCTGCATTGATGTGCAATGTTTTACAGACCCTTATATTTTTCATGTGCTTATAGCGTAGGTAAACATATTCAGTTAGTGTGTTTAATACTTGTTGGGTACAAGTGGAACACTGGATGTTAACAGACCTGCAGCTGATCTCCTCTAGCTGTCCTCCGGTAGTAACCCAGCTTCCAAAATATTTCTGTTCATGTAGCCTGCCATTGAATCCACAAGTGCACACAGAGGGTGTGTGTGTGTGTGTGTGTGTGTGTGTGAGAGAGAGAGAGAGAGAGAGAGAGAGAAGTAAATAAACCAGGACAAACAGAGTGGTAAACTTGGGGAAAGAATAGAGTGAAACAGAGGAGGATGGCTTTTAAAAGGTTTTGTTTTTAAAGAGGACTGACTGGTTTGGGTGTCCTGTTTTGGAGAAAATGCTGCAAAGTAAAGGAATTACGTCATTAAATAAATTTCATGACTTCAAAATAAAAACTACAATATAGGCTGATGTGTGGTGATCTGATGTGGCACTCTCAGTTTCCTCTTAAATGATGTATTTACCGTGTCAGGGCTGGTGAGGCTGTGGCATTACAGTGATGGAGATGGTGATGGAAGCGGGCATTTATAATACTAGCGGCACCTTCTTGTATCCAGCGCGCACAAAACCAGAGAACGCGCAGCTGAGCAGGACTCAAGCTTGACCAAGTGTTTGACTCCAACAGGCAGCTCAGGCAGCACAAAGGCGCGTTTTATCTTTGGATCCCAGCGCTTCAGTGGTGTAAGTGGACATCGGATCAGCAGCTGGTCGTGAAGTGACAATAATTCAGACCGCCGAGGCTCGCTCAGCTTCAGCACTTTGCTTCCGCTCTGCAACTTTGTATTTCCTCGCATTTTCCCCCCAGACAAAGTCAAACATGAGATTTCCCCCTTTATATGGGATCTAAGCGTCCAATCACCCGCAGGATCTGCACAATAATATCAGGTGGAGATTGTATGTCGGGACTTGAATGCGTGCAGATGAATGAATAAACCTCCGACCGGTTCTGGTCCGCGGGCCCGAACGGACACGTGGCTCAGGAGTCTCGTTTTAATCTAAGAGCTGGTCGTGAGTGTGAGGTGTGAGGAGGAGGAGGAGACTGATGCTTCATGCTTCATGCTGAATAAAACCGTAAAATCACATATATGCAGATGCAGAATAGCATCTAAGCTGTAGAGGAATGTAAACTGAAGGATGTAGAATATTTACATCCCATCACGGTGCAGCTACAAGATATTTAATCCTAAATATTTAATTACACAGACAGTAATATGATGTTCTTATGTTGTTTTTCAGACTGTAACCAGAATTTTAGAAAATGATCTTTAAAAAAAAGAAAGAAATGTAACAGTAAAAAGTGTGTCATGATTTACAGTTTTAATTTTTCGTTAAATGTCAGATTATATTTTTAGTACATTTTATTCCCAGTGGAAGTCTGAATTGGTGGCACCCAATAGAGTCACACCATTTTCTAGACTATTTCATTTTTTTTTCTTGTTGTCTTTCATTTCACTTCCTGTCTCACAATGTTGAACCACCAGCTTTGTGTATTTGGACTATTCTTTCATTTCTCCTCTTGAACTAAGGAGCACCTCTTTAGGCCTTCTAAAGAGACACTCTGCACTCTAAAAATGTTTGGACTCAATAATAAAAAAGAAAAAAAAGAAAAAATGCAACAGTTTGCATCAATCTTTAATTTCACGGTTAAATTACAACAATAATTGGTTGCTGAAATTTTCAGCATTAATATATCAAACATCAAAACAATGTTTGGAACTTGATAGTTTATCTAAAGCAATACATTTGTTTTTGTTGTTGTTGTTGTTTTTATCTTGCAAGCAGACATGTAATTAATCCTGATACTCTAACATGTGATGTGTCAGTTATTGTTTCTTTTTTTTAAAAAAAGATGCTAAGCAAAAACAGAGAGAACTATCAGCCAGTCAGTTTTGGAGGACACATGGAAAAACAACAACAACAACAACAACAAAACAGGCCATGATTCATTTAATTTATAAAGTGGTCCAACAGGAGCACAGACACAGTGGGATCAGTGTGTGAGGGGCTGTTCGGCTGCTTCACCTCCGTGATGCTGCAGCGTCAGGACGGTTCAGCCTTCAGAGGCGGATCCCTGCGCCGCTCCGCCGCTGTGTGACAGAGGGGGAGGACCGGGAGGCCGTCACCCACCGGAGAGAGAGAGAGAGGAGAGCCGCTCAGCGAGCAGGATGCCATATGAGGCTGAGGGCAGCTGGAGCCGCTTCACTGTCACCGCTGGAGCCGCAGCAGCAGCAACTTCATGCTCCTTCAGCTCCGTCTGAGTTGTTTCGCTGCTCCTGCCAGTCATCAGGGAGAGAGAGAGCAGGCCGGGACCTGACGGTGTATGGAAGCTGCAACAAGTGTGTTCAGTGCGGAGAGGCCCGAACACCCGCTCCGATGCTCAACGACGTGAACCTGGAGGACCGTGTGCGGAGCGACGCCGGCTGCCTGGACGGGCTCATCGGTGAGTTGAGCTGCTGCTTGTTGAACCGACACACCGGGAACCCGCCGCACAGATGAGACACCGAAGTTTTCAGTGTAAACGCCGTTTATTCTGGGCCCGTGTGTCACTGTGACTCGGCCGGTGCCGGTCGGGCCTCCTCCAGGGGCTCCGCTGTTCAGACCTGAAACTCTCAGTTGATTGAGAAACTCAGGACTCAACACGTTTTATTTATCAGCCTCCAAATGAACAGAACCTCCTGGGTTCTAGCTGGAGGCTCTGATCGGACCCAACTTATTGTGATGCAGCAGCCAGTCGCTCTGCGGGTTCTAGTGAGGTGCCGGCGACCCGACACGAGGGGGAAGAAAATAACAACACAATGATAAATATATGTGTTCGATTTAATTCACATAACTTTATTTACTTATCCCCCGGGCGCAATTCTAAAGCTCACTGAGGAGTTAGTATAAACACATCAAAAAAAAAAAAAAAAGAAGTGATGTTATTGTTATTTTTATTTATAATTAACAATTGTGTGTAATTGTGTGCGCGCGCGAGGTACAGAATAATTGTAAAAAGAATCATCTCTAAGGCGCCTTTTAAAACCTTTTAGAGTGATGCTCATACATTTTTACTGGTGGGTTAGTGCATCATTTATCACAAATCTAACATCAACCTATTCATGTCCACTGGCCGCTTACGTCAATTGTCTTCCCTCCAAATTAAAGAACAATAATAGTGATGATCGGACTCAGAGGCTTATTTTATACCGTCAGTGTTCTTGTTTTGATTTCTTCACATCAGTAAAACGATTTCAGTATTGCCTAAAACATAGTTTAGGTTCTGTTTTCTTTCTAATTCAGTTCTGTTCCTGTTCACATGGATCTTTACTGGACGTTTCAAGCAACATTTTGACCAGTGTTCACTTTGGATCGGTTCAGGTTTACAGACTGGTCACTGTCTGCGCCAACAATAGAGGTTGAATGGAAATGTGGTTTTGTGCTAATATGTAAACGTGTAAAGTCCCCTTTGTTCGATGAGCTGACCTTTAAACACACACACACATCACAACGTTTCACTTGTAATATATAGCAGTATCTAATAATATATGGGTAATATATATCAATATATAATAACATATAGGTCATATATAGAAATATATATTATATATGGGTAATATATTGTAAAATGTAATAATATATGGTAATATCTAGCAATATTTAATAATATATGGGTAATATATAATATTAATATTTAATAATATATAGTACAATTGAATAAAATAAGCTAATGTTTTATTCATGTTTTATTTATTTATTTATATTTTATTGATATATATGGGTAACATATCAATATTTAATAATATATTGGTAACATATATCAATATTTAATAATATGTTGGTAATAAATAATACAATTTAATAATATAAGATAATGCTTTATTGATATTTTATTTATTTATTTCTATTTTATTGATATATATGGGTAGCATATATCAATATGTAATAATATATGGGTAATATATATGAGTACTTAATCATATATGGGTAATATATAGTAAAATCTAAAAATATATACGTAGCATATGGCAATATTTGATAATACATGAGTAATATATCGTCGTATTTAATAATACATAGTAGTATTTAATGACATATAGTAATATAAAGTAACGGCAGAACACAGTGCAGCGCCCGTCGGCACTGATGTGTTGCAGCTACCGGCCTCGGCCTCACCCTCTCCCCCCCTGTGCCAGGCGCTGCCTCCCCCCTGCGGGCCGTGTGTGAGGGCTGCACGCGGATCATCTCGGACCGCTTCCTGCTGCGGGTCAACGACGCGTCCTGGCACGAGCGCTGCCTGCAGTGCGCGGCGTGCCAGCAGCCGCTCAGCGCCAGCTGCTACTGCAAGGACACCAAACTGTACTGCAGGAGCGATTACCAACAGTAAGAGCTGCTCCGCGGCCTCACCGGCCTCCGCACACCAGCACCATGTCACTGGCTTGTACTTGAAAGAAAGCGAGAGAAGCGGCCTTGGTTTTGCCGCTGCTTGCGGCTGGTCTTTGCGCACATTTATACAGAACAAACGCCGCATCACGAGCTGAGGGTTTTATTTCTTTGCGCATCTTCTCAACACCTTTAAAGACCTGTTCACTTACTGAAAATATAGCATCTCGAACCGGGGTTACATTTGTCTCTGTTTGTTGTTTTTTCTTGTTCATCGCTCAGCGCAGTGGAGGCAGCTGCTCCCACCTCTCCTGGTGATTTTACAACAAGATGTCGGTTTGTGTAGTGAATTGTTTTGACCCTAAATTTTAGTGTTATTGTTATTAAGGATGCAACAGGTGCAAGCTGAAATTTATTTTGGATTTGAATTATCGTATCTCGTTTTTATACATTTTTGAGAATTTCCCAGCAACACAATTATTTCTGATACTGTCAGGATTTAATTAGCTGTGTGTCGTTTTTAATGCACTGGCTTGGTACTCATTGTAAATCATTTTATTAATATAACACAGCAGTCAGGGGCATTGCTGCACATTTTTACAAGAGTTTAACTGATGATATATTGGAAGTGACTTTATTTTGTTATTTGTAAAATATTAGAAAAGAGCTACAGCAGGTTCCTGAAATCTGATGGTCAAATTATCTGGATTGATCTTGCATTAATTCAAGCTGAAGGGACACGCACTGATACTGATACATGGTTTTTGAATGACTTTATTGTCATGTGAAGACTCATTGACCGAGTGTAGCTTCAGTTGGGGTGGATGGGGGCTTGAAAACAAACACGCATCAGAATTTAATATACTGTAGTGAATAACTGTGAAACAATATGTGTCATCAGAATGGCAGGTAATTAGTAACACCTTTGACTGGTGAGCTGTTTGCTTTATGATTATCTAATATTACAACGGCTGATAGTAACAGCACCCAGCTAGTTTTGGTTGCAAACTGTCAGAGGTGATGTGCATCAGCAATGTGTCGCTGAATGTACACATTATAAAAAACAAACTGTATAAAACTGTGCTTCACATGAGCAAGACAATAGACTGCTGCTCACATCAGTCACAGTAAGTGGAAGTGTTTCAGACGGACGGCTGATGTGTTGGATGTGCTGGTGCTGTCTGAGCGGTGCTGATGAGGGGCTGCCTGCAGCTGGGTGGTCTCGCCTGCTGTACTGAGGTTCCTCCCAGACAGGCTGCACTGACAACAGGCCGTTTGACTGTCACATCCACTCTCTGCTGGGTTTCTCTGTGTGCCTGTCTGCTTTTTCTTAAAGGGCCTTTGTCCTCTGCCAGGGCTTCAGTGTTGCTGCTGCATGCTTGAGGTCTGCTGGCCTACAATGGGCAGCGTGCATCTCCAGTAACATTAGCCTGCTGAGACGTACTGCTGAGCCAGCACTTACTGCCAGAACAGATTCTCAAACATTTCCAGAGTCGGGATCCTTATTTGTTCTCTCAGTTGTTTTTTTTTACCCTTTTTGTGTGCAATACCTAAATATAAAGAAAACATTAACAAAAGTGAAATAAAACAGAAATTAATATGATTAAATTCAGCACAACCAAATTAAGACAACAAAGAGACTAGAAGCATGAGAAATAAAAGATAACTTATAAGTGGCAGGTTGTTGCAGAGCCCTGCTTGCCAAGGCCTCATCTGGTTTTTAGTTGCAACCCAGCAAATAATAAAGACCTGTGGAGGATCTTGAGCCACATTCAGGCTCAGCAGGTCACAAATGAAGTCAGGAGAAAATCCCATACGGCCTTTTCAAGGTGACGTTAGAATATTCAGTTTGACATAGTTGTACTAAGTCAAATAGAAATATAATTCTATATTTATATATGTAGAAAATAGATGCATGGGTGGCAGATCGAAATGCCTGCAGGACTTAATGTTGAGAAGATTTAAGAAGACAGATTGACTGACTTTATTCTCATACCGCTCAAAAGTAAAAATAAATATTTTTTCTGGGCTTTTTTGCCTTTAATCTACAGGATAGTGAAGCGAGACAGAGAAACGTGGGGAATAGAATGGGGGGAAGGACATGCAGCAAATGAGCCGCTGGTTGGACTGGAACCATGGTCGCTGTTTTGGGGACTATAGCCCTGGACATGGGTCGCTGTCTGATCCAGTTGAGTTACCGGGGTGCCCGCTCAAAAATAAACTTGATCACAGTAAACAGTAAAACAGGATTTTTATCAGTGGCATCGTACAGGTGTGAAATATGCCTTTATGCTAAAGCCTGACTCCTGATATGTCAAGCAAACTGTAAAAGTGAATCATGACTGTTTTATTATTAGAAGTCTATATTTTTCAAAGGTCTATTTTACTCTAATTTTACTGTAAAGCACAAGAGACAGCTGCTTGACAAATCACTCCATCAATGGAAGAGTCATTAATTACAATCCCACTGCTACATGAAAACATCAAGTCTNGAAAATAGATGCATGGGTGGCGGATCGAAATGCCTGCAGGACTTAATGTTGAGAAGATTTAAGAAGACAGATTGACTGACTTCATTCTCATACCACTTAAAAATAAAAATAAATATTTTTTCTGGGCTTTTTCGTCTTTAATGAAGCGAGACAGAGAAATATGGGTAGAGTGGGGGGAGGACATGCAACAAATGAGCCGCTGGTTGGACTAGAACCGCGGCCGCTGTGTTGGGGACTATAGCCCTGGACATGGGTCGCTGTCTGATCCAGTTGAGTTACCGGGGTACAGGTATGAAATATGCCTTTATACTAGAGCCGGACTCCTGATATGTCAAGGAAACTGTGAAAGTGAATCATGACTGTTTTATTGTTTACAGTAGGAAGGCTTTAATAGTAAGAGTTTTAGCAACATAGAAGTCTATATTTTTCACAGGTGTATTTTACTGTAATTTTACTGTGAAACACAAGAGACAGCTGCTTGAGAAATCACTCCATCAGTGGAAGAGTCATTAATTACAATCCCACTGCTACATGAAAACATCAAGTCTACAGGGGTTGCTATTCTCGAATAAAACGTGTAGGCTGAAATAGGTTAGGTGGGTATTTTATTATTAAAGAAGAAAGTGCCAGACTACCAAATTAATAAAATGCATTAATTAAATTTTATGGTGTCAACTTTCGGATTCTATGCCATGAATTCTGTTGTGTTTATATCTATCATCTCATTTTTGTCTTTGATATCATTTAGAATATAGGTAAAACAAAGTCATTTGGTGTGTATAATAATAATTATTGTTAATTATGTTTCTTAATGGTTCTGTGATTCCATGTCTTATATTTACTCTTCCACAGAGAGTTGCATTTTATTATAGCCCTCTCTGCCTCTGTATTTGAGGAGCCTCTGAACAGGACACACAGACTGAACTGGTGAATTTAACTGCAATAAAAGCAGAGTGCTGCTTAAACAGTAACCTACCTGTCATAATAGGCTGCTTCGAGAAAAATAGCCACCATGACAAAAAAATAAAGATGCTACTGTAATAGAATACTATTTACTAAAGCCATAAATACACTAAGTGAAAGCCAAACATCATCAGTTGACATTGGGAACATTTTAGATGAGTGCCAATGCTACAGTCACAGATTATTACTTGAAGAGCATCCACTCATCTGCCACTTCATTTGGTGCACCTGTTCAACTCTCCGTTAAAGCAAATGTCTAATGTTCCAATCACGTGGCACAAATTCCATGCATTTAGTCATTTAAACACGGTCAAGAGGAGGTTTAAACAAAACATCAGAATTAATAAGTGAGGTGATTTAAATGATTTTATTTGACAGCAACATAAATATTATTGCTGTGTTGTATTACTGTGTATTTACACAGTGATAGTAAGAAGGCTTGTCTTACTTCAGAATATTAATCAAAAAAGAAAATTACATTTCTTCAAAGAGTCACTAGTTTGAGCACAATAAAACAGATATTTATTGATAAAATAAATTATGTATCTTAATAGTCTTAATAGGGTAAAGAAAATGTCATAAAATTCACTTACAAACATAATTTTTTCTTTAGAGAAGTAGCAGTCACATACTGATATGAGCACAAGTGCATCGTTTAAGTAGCGGCCAGAAACTGGCAAAACATTTGACAAAAAACAGCACAATACAGGAGAATTTGAATATTGACTTGGTTTCATTCAAAAGCGACGTCTGCATGCATAGGATTATCAGTGTACAGCATAACAGTCTCTTCATACCTTTGTGGGGTTAAAAACTTAAACAAAATATAGGGAATATATGACACATCCTGTATTAGGTTTAAAAAATGCTCTAGAAAAAAAGCTCAGGAACCATGAATAAGTAGAACAGACTGCAAAAGAAGGGTAAAATCCTCTCACCACCATATTAATCAAAGTACTACAGTTACTCTGTATTCTTAATTTTCTTTCATACTAGTTGCATGTTTGGATAAATGGATATCTTGCGAAATGCAGCGTGCTAACAGTGTAAAATTAAACAAGGTAAATTAAATGTTTATTTCATTATTTTATATTATGATCCTTGTTTGTTCTCTAATAATTCGGTCACTCGTGTTGGTCACCTCTAAATCAGTTTAAAAATCAAATGTGTGATGCAGCCTTAAATGGAAAAAAAAGAGGTCTCTTTCCTTGCCATAATAGTACTCTTTTCTCAATGCTCTGGCTCTCTATATTTTATTTACAATAGGATCCATGTTGTGGTAGCTGAGCTGTGAACAAATAGGGAGGCAAGGGGATAGCCACGGAGGTCCACACACTTTAATACTTAAACCAACTAACACAGACACCATGTTGGTGTCTATTTTCGGTTGTTTGACTTCTTTTATGCTCTCCATTTCCCGAGCACCGAGTTTATTGTTGTTTTTGACCTTTCTCTTTCAGACTCTGTGCCTGAATAACAGTGCAGAATACAGTAGTAAAGAGTGCAGCTTTGTTTAATATCGAGTTGTACCTCTATTTACTTTAT